CCCCAAAACCCCAAAACCCCAAAACCCCAAAACCCCAAAACCCCAAAACCCCACCTTTATTAATAAACATTGAATTTTAAAATGAATGTAATGAGTGTTTCAATGTATTCCAGATTTACGGAAGGCAGCATTGATGGATTCGGATCCGTAAAAGAAACTTCTACTCAAAATTTTCTGGATAATCACTACGATAATAGCACTCCTTACAGGAAGAAGACCTGTAAGGAACTTCTAGCAAAGCATTGGCAGTAAGATTACTTTAATTAATTATTATAGATGGGTATTCTTTTCTGCTATTTCATCTATCTGTTTTGCAGTGAGTAATTATCTAATCGGAAAATCAAGCCATGAAGGATTCTTTATCAGACCTTTCATAATGGTAGGAAATCTTATAGTAGCTGTCATATTTATCTTGTACTACTATTGAGTAAAAAGTGGGTCCCTTCAAGGCCTTCTATGAGACTTTCAACTAATTCATTTAGAATTTTCTGGGGTTAACTATCATATGTTACTGGATATCAGCATCGATGCAATTCTCTTGATTGGAGGAGAGTATTTGTTGATCTTCACTTTTCACCAAAGTTTAAGAGCTACAATTAATCAAGGAGTTATCTCATCTCTTTTTGTACTTTCTTCAGTCATCACTGCTATAATCTCCTGGGTAATGGTTAAGATCAGAACAAGAGTCAACCCTATTCACAGTAACTATTTCAACTTTCTTCAAAGAGAAAGATGTAACAGATATCACGCGATCTGTGCTATTCTGGTTGGCTGCTCTTTTTTCATTCTCACAGAGATTCCAGCAATGTACTATCAAAGCGACCTGATACATACAATTTTTATCTTAACTATCCTCACAAGCTTGTACTTTTCAGCAAAAGACATGTTGTTTAAGGCAAGAATAATCAAGTATTTCTTGAGCCCACATAAACTTTATTCCCTGATTATCTGACTTGGAGGCATATTCATGCTCATTACATCAGCTGTTCTAGTGTCTATTTATGGGTTTTCACAGATAGTCTGGGACTCTTTTATTGCTGGGATCCTTCAATCTTGTGCAATATTTAGCATGATATTCTCCTTAATGAGAGAAACAAAAGGATGGACTCCTCTGATAATCAGCTATTGATTCATTATTCATGCTTTGCTTGCTATGTGGTTCCTTGAGCAGTGGCTAGACTGGATTCAAATAATTGTACTAGTCCTGACTTCTATATGTGTCTGCATCACATGAGTAGGATAACACCTTTTCAGAGATAGATAATCAAATTTCAATTTTATTAAATCGACTTGGGGTTTTGGGGTTTTGGGGTTTTGGGGTTTTGGGGTTTTGGGG